CCCCTTTTAAACAGTGGCCCCCCAAAACACAAAACAGTTCTTTTAAACATGGCTGTGCCCTACCCTACATAGGCTCTTTTTTCAAAAACCACAGCGAGCAAGTGCTGAACTGTACAGTAAGGGCCTTTGTGCAGGCTGGAATCTAAAGCTGGCCTTCATGCAGGCTGTGCAAGCCAATGGTGCCTTGCTCAGGCTTCTCCCCAGTGGCCTTTGTGCTGTCTGTCCCTTGATCCTCACCAAGGGGTGCCTTTATGCAGGCTGTGCTGGCGAGTCCTTCAGCAGCTGATCTTTGTATGAGACCAGCTGCTTTTTCTCCAGGCTTGCCTCTTCGCAGGCTTTAGCCATAAGTGCAGACATGACTCTGTCTTGGTCAGGACCCCTAGGCAATTGCACATTCACCAGGCAAGTTGGCTTGCTGCCTTCTTCAGGCTTGGACACAATGTAAGCCTTGTTTGAAGCTTTGGTTTCCTTAACAAACCCAAAGGAAAGGCTCTTCTTCCAACATGCCTTGGCTTTGCTTGCTGCACTTGGCCTTTTGGCGCTTTTTTGCATGATGGCCTTTTTGCAGGCTCCAGATCTTGTTGTGACACTGCTGTGCTTGCAGCTGTACTTTCGATTTCCACCACCTCTTGGTCTGATGGTAGAATGGCAGCTGGGGATTCTAAAAAAGTGATAGGTGCTGGGCCTTGCTCAGGCTTCTCTTCTGCAGGCTGAAGGGCTTTCTTTGGTGTCTTCTGGTTAAGCCTTCTCACTGGCCTTTCTGCAGGCTGTGGAGTGCCAAACAGACTTTGCATCAAACCCATCAATAGACCAGAGGTTTTTTCTCCAGTCTTGAGATTTTTCCATTTTCTTCTCAGAAAGTTTTTGCATTCATGAGTTTTGTTCACGATCAACTTGCATTCTGATGTGGTCAATTTATGGTTGGCTTCTTTCATTGCTTGCCTTTCCACAGGCTTGCTCAAAGCCCCATGCTTGAACCACACACCCAAAAACAATGCATGCCTTGTGCAGGCTTCTTCAGGGTCAGCTGGCCACAGGTTTGCATTGCAAGAGTCAGGGAAGCCTTTTGCAAAGGCCACCAGCTTGCTGATATCTGCCTTTATTGCAGGCTGGGGGATGGGCAGCGTTGCTTCTCCTGACATCTATACCTAGCTTGCTTAAAGCCAAACAGCTGCAACATATCAAATATCTTGGAGGTGGTAACATGAGTTTGGGCAGAAGCCACATTTAGAAGTAGAATCTACTTTTCATGGCTGCCAGCCAGTTTTGAGAAGATAAGATTTGTGGCTGCCAGCCATGAATCCTAGCTGCCAGCCACAAATCTTATCTTCCAGCATTGGCTTCTAGGGGGCCAGAACCTTGGAAAGTGGCTGGCAGCCATGAAAAGTAGATTCTCGGATCCTTAGGGCACTGCGCCTGTGCAGCGAAATCCATCACGCTTCTTGCGCGACATGTCATTTTCATGCAAATCACAATGGAATAGCGTCGCAAACTGACACGTGACACATCCATGAAAAGTCACTTGCAAAAGCTTCCCCCAATGGCAGCGCCTTAGCGTCCTACTGCGAACGGTTGCGGACGGTTGCGAACGGTTGCGGACGGTTGCGAACATAGAAACAACGGATCGCGAACAAGACTCTACCCCCAGACCCCCAGAGTTAAACGAGAACCCTTCGCTACGCATTCGGGAATAATATGCCCTAAAGGGATGCCCAATTGACAGCCCCGGTGATCTATCGGATCAGAAAATAGATACAGGGTGTCCAAACGCCGCTAAACCGGAGTCTCCATTTGACATCCTTTAGCTTTTAGGTATGATGGGCACCCCTAGGTGTCCTCGGGCTTAAACCCCAAAAACACGGAGACCCCACGCAGGCGGTGATGCGATGATGCAAGAAACTCACTTGTTTCAGCACCGTGGTCCAAAGGCATAGGTGTGCCCAATGGTTTTACCCCCTTAATACTTGTAGGGTGCCCAATGGACTGGAGTCGGAGGCATTATTTTGGCTTCAGTATGTTTTCTGCTATTTCTACCGACGTCGTGTTGGCCAAGCTGGGGGCCACGCTGTTCGCACCAGGAAGAGACGGAGGGCGAAGAGCCCAGCCTATCAGGCACTCGTGAGGACAGCAAGGCGGGGAATGAACCGCAACACGTGATGGGTTGGTTTGGAAACATGGCCTCCAAGTAGGCAGTAAAGCTCACTTTCAACAACTTATATTTATAGGGCAAAGACTTGGTGATGTTTCAGTAAATTCTGAAATAATGTTTCAATCAGTGTATTTTTTGAATTTTCAGCGGAGCTCGCTGGAGAAGGGCTATGATGAAGGCGAGCAGGGTTAGGTTTGTGGCCAGGCAGTTGTAGCTGACAGAAAAAGGGTTAAAGATATGGCATGTCAGTACACATGTCAATTACACAGTTACAGTAGAGCCGATGTATATATATATATAACATATTTTCTTGGGGGATTGGATTCACTTTCCAGTGGAACCAACATGATTCAAATGGACTATCCCTCGACTCCTTGTCTACTTGGTCCTCGGCTAATGAATGGATACGAGCTTGTCACGTCAACGTCATTTTGTTTGGCAAGGGCTAATAATTGGTCGTTGGAATATTTTATTTGGGAAATAGATGGAGAATAGGGCTGACCGCTTAGAGAGACATTGAATTGGCCTTATAGGTGTCACCTGGTCCAACAATACCGGTGTGTTTGGACCCTGCCTAACGGGTGGTTTCTAGGCACCTGTTGTTACGAAGCACCTCAGCCACGTTCAACACCTCCCTGCTCATGAAGGCAAAACTGACTGGTACCCTTGTCATTCCGAACATTTTGCGTACTTTCGCTACCACTTGGGTCTGAACATGCCAAGCTTCTGAACCCCCAAAGACGCCCGTTTGTTCCGCCACCGCAGCTCCGCCACGGCAGAGGCCACGCACCGCAGTGAGGAGGCTCCGGGGCCGTGGAGAGCGCTTTGGAGAGCACCGTGGTCAGCCGGGTGATTTGGGATGACTGGACGGCCCATCGGTTCACAGACGGTCCGAAGCACTCCGATATCAGCATGGTCCCGGTTTGGAATTTTGTCCAGGTGGACCCTATGGGTCAACCGTTTTTCCTGGCGAAGACTAGAGCGTTTTCCTGGTTTCTTCAGCAAATCCGAAGCAACACACGCTCCCCAGAGGAGCTGTGCTTGTTCAGGGCCGTGAGGGCCATGAAAAAGCATATTTTCTGCACATGCTCATGTTGCATCTCAGTATGTTGATGGGTGGATTGGTGGCGACCTGTTGAGACGGCCCCAATTTCTGCATGAGACCCCTGGGATTCTCCAAGTTCTCCATGCGATTTCTGTGTTTTCAGCATGTGTAGACAGCAGAAGCTACAGGTGCTAAGCTCCGGCCCCAACAAATGGTTTGTTCGTGTAATACTGTACACGTCGCATTCCTTGTTGTTTGCTTCCTGATCACAGATGAAGCTCTTCAGCAGCCATTGCAGCCATTGCTGTGCTGGCCTTCATGCTTGTATGACCCGATTGAAACGACGTGCGCAACGACGGCCAGCAAGCGTCAGATTGTTGAAGTTGCTCCATGAATGAGGTTTTGATGATATGTGCGTTCATCCCAAGAACAGTGAGCAGCTCGAGCGCCTCACTGACAAGTGGGAAGCTTCCCACCGCAGCACCCGTGCTCTATCAGATGGCAAGACCCGTGTACTGTAGTTCACCTTGGACCCTCAACAGCAAGCTTCCTACATCCCGGTGAGCAACCCCCCCTGACTTCCAAGAAAGTTCATTTGAGCAAGTTGTTTGGCGTTTTGTTTGCGGCCACTTTGGCCTGTCCCTCCCCAAAATTGGCAGCTGGCCTTCAAATCCAATCCATTTTTTTCCATTCCCCAGCACCGGAACAGCATCGCTCAGTCGTTCTGTACGGCTTCTGCGAAACGAACAGTTAACCCAACTGCACCCACCGCACCACCGACCTATCGCACACTGCCAATGGCACCTTCAACCGCTTCAACTCCCGCCATTCGCTTGGTGCTGCTGCTGCTTCCAGCGTTTGGCCCCTGCTGTTTCGCCCCACTGCTGTGGCCAACGCCACGGCCGCGAGTGGGGCGACCGCGAACCACACTGGCAGCGTTCAACTTGGGTGGCTGGGGTAGATGGAACTGGAGGGGCCTGGGAATCGAAGGCTTTGTGCAGTTTGGGTGCTTTGGATTGTGGCACTTCCCGCAGATATTCTCCCGCAGGTAAGATTTTTGAAGGATGACTAGATCTGAGTAGTGGTGAACTGTGATGCAGGGTTGAAACATTGAAACGAGATCGATGAGATGAAGTGAATAGTTGCTAATTGGGGTTTGGACAGCTCTGAAAGCAACTGTGATGGGTGAAATGCGAAAACCAAGCTCCTGCACCACCTAATGGGGTTCTCATTCCACGACCTTTCAAACAGGTAGACTCTAGTAGACCACCCTTTACTGAGTAAGGAAGAAGACATGAACAAACACTTACAGATTCTGGCAGTTTGTTTAAAACAGGCTCCTATCTTCTTAATAGTGGGAGGAGGGAGTGTCTTGTTTAAACATTGACATGAACCCGGTCACGATGTCCGCCTTCTCAACAGACCTCAGAAGGGTGGACAGATAGAAGCCTCCGTGGCTTGGTGATAGACTGATAGATGCGTCTTTCAGCAAGGCGATGCTCAAACATTCCCAACATTCACTGCGTGGCGGGGTGATGACTTCAGGCCCCGCTGAACCTTGTGATGTTTGACTAGTTGTCCTGGCCATGTGGCCTTGACCCTGACCCATGGCTGATTTGCTTGCTCATAAACAGTGTGCAGAAGACATCCAAAGCACGAGCCCAAAGGAAGACTCTTTTCAGTGCATTCTGAATTTTGCTATAAGTGATTGGGATTGGTGATTGGAGACATGAGTTTGGCGGCTATTGGATGGTTCGAATCACCCAAACCCTAAGCCCTAAATGCAAGATATATAGCAAGGTCATGGATTTGTTCAGGGTAAATCCTTCAGGCTCGGAGGTTGCATGTCAGCCACAAAATGAGCAGAGAGATACTGTAGTTCTCCTATTGTTTGTGATGGTCGTTTTTCGGCAGAGAAACGTTGGGTCCCCCCGTCTTTCTAGAAAGATTATGAACGATTTGCAGTGATCCCAATTTAAACTATATGTTTAGGAAACGGTGTCCAACACCTGTTTAAGTGGTGTCTAGAAACATGCTCGATCTGCAGATGGACCCCAGACCTCGATCTGCTTGATCTTGCTTCCGCAACCGGACTCATTGGTCGAACACCCACCACGTCTCAGCTTCCGCTCCCGACCAGAGCATCGGTCGACCTCGAGGTGGCCTCTTTGGCGGCGAGGAACAGATTGACACCTGGGCATGAATTCAGGCACCTGGAGCCTCAAAGTACCTCGGAAAATGGGTACAAGTACTTCATTTTTATAGGGCCATGTCCCATTTTCTAGAGTACTTTGGAGGGTCCCGGTAGACTGATGAATAACTCCCCCTGATTTGAATGCACGCACGTGCGGGTCAACCGCGTCCACCTACCGACCCTTGTCAGCAGGTGTGACGGGTACGGGCGCCGCCCGTACCTGGGCGTCATCATCGCTTCGGCCTCCTTCCTTCAGCCTTTGGCCTCCTTCGGCCTCCTTTGGCCTCCTTTGGCCGCCTTTGGCCCAGGAGGTCCTAATCGCTCTCGGCCTAAGGAGGTGCCAAAGAATGTGCAGGAGATGGTGGCCGGCTTGAAGCGGAGCACCGAGAACGCGCTGAACCAAGGCTGCAGCCGTCCCTTGGGCCGTCCCCAAGGCGGCTGGGAGAGTTGATTCACAGAATCACCGGCTTGAACCCCCTTAGAGGCGCTGATTTAAGTAGTCTAAACGAATTTTGCAATGGATTGTCACAGTCTTTGGAAGTTCTGGAGTCCTTTTTCCCTTCGTTTCTTCCCCCTGTTCACGCTCGTCAAAACCGTGGGATTGGCCGGTGAGGGCAGAAGGCATCCACCCAAGCACTGAAGCCGAGTTCTTAGAGGCAGTTCTTGCCCATCCAGGGATTGGAGGCATGGGTTCTGTCCATGTCATCGGTCACCAGCGATTCACCAGCGACTCGCCTTGATGGGGTGACACCCATGGTCTACCCGGATGATTTGGCGATGAGAAGACAGGGAAGAGAGGGAGCTTCAAAATCACCACGGGCATGAGGAATTGGACTCGGAGACTGAGTGGACTTGCTTGGTCACTCGAGTTTCTTGGTGTTTGCTGGGTCAGTGCATGAACTTATGGCATGAACACCACACCCCAAGTGTTTAGCCTTTGGAGCCACCAGCCATGGGGTTTGGAGTCACCAGCCACGGTCTGGGACACCTGCCACATCCGGAAGCACAGTCTCGCCCCGCGGGCCATGTGCACTGAGGTTTGGATATTGAGCTTCCGCCCTCCTTCAAACTGGGAGTTGAAAATAAGTTGGGTAAGGGCGCTATGAGACTTGGATGAAAGCTGAATCAATTCAGTGCCAGCAGAGTGACACGCAAACTCCTACGTTTGCAGTTGATGTTGACGGAAACTGACTGCGCCATGCGCGGCGCACGCGTTCCTTCACCAGAATCAGAGGAAGTCGAGGTCCTTCTCTCCATGCGATCCTTCTCCGGCACCCCTTGGGTTCCAGTGTCTAGGTTCCAAGAGAGGTTGAGAGACCTGAACGTTTGGACCCTGGGGATAGGCTTGTTCAGGCTGTTCAACCTCTCTTGGTTCTGTAGAACTGTAGAACCCAACTGGTTGAGGACGAACCGAGCGGCTCCCCAGCCACCCATCGGCTCGCGCTCCCAGACCAGTCCTCTCTGAGGATCGATGAGAAGGATAGACGCTCGGTCAAGCGAACCAAGCACTCCAAGTAGACCACTGGGATGGCTGAAAAGGGGATGACCAAAACGCGGCCTGGAGGGGAAAACCGCTATGATGTTGCGTTGGCGTTGTACAAAAACGCGGAGCATGTTTTTGCCCAGGGGCCGGCTGATGAACCAAGGGACAAGACGCTCGCAAAAGGACGGGAATTGGGAGTTGCGAAAAGACAATCTGCAAGATGAACAAATTAGAAGGTTATCAACATCGTAGAGTTTCTCACGATGAAGCAAGCGATGTTCAACACTTTTGCTTGACATGCGTTTCCCTGTTTCTCTGGGGCTGGCAAGCAGAAAAAGACCTGGTCCGAGCCTCATCCACGGCCGAGGCCAAAAGTCGGTCTTGAACGAGGTGGAGCGTGGGGATCGTGAGCTGGCACGACTCTACGTGGAGATGTTGAGCCAACTGGGCCCTGGCTTGGTGTCTGGGATTGATCTTCTTGAGGATTGGGCTCGCTATGGGTCGAGTAATTATTCCATGATTATCCCAGGGAAATTTGGCAATTGTGGTTTCCGGCAGTCCACTGCGATCTGGCACTTGTGGTTGAGGTCCGGTAGTGCCCACTGTGATTCTTGGCAGTTGCGGTTGAGGTCGGTAGTGCCCACTGCGACCTGGCGCTTGCGGTTGAGGTCCGGTACTGCCCATTGCAATCTGGCACTTGCGGTTGAGGTGGCGAGGAGGCGGGGGAGAAGGAGGAGAAGGAGAAGAGCTTTGATATACGTAGTCTAACTCTAACAATGCTCACCTGGCAGGTGGGGAAGACATGATGTTGACAATGTCCTGTGATGGCCTGTATGGCCTTGCCATGTCTGACCCACCCATGCGGAAGGACTTCACAGACCACTTCCTGAGAGAATTAAGGGGGGCTTGAAGCCAGGTCTTTCTTCGACCCGGGCCAGTCAACTTCAGCGGACCTGCTACGACTATCTGAGTGGCAGAAGCCAACCGCAAGATGTGCGTATGTAGTGGGCGAACCCAGGGGCCAGAACCAGCTGCACCGCCACAACATGCCACAACTATTTCTTTTTGGTTAGCTGAGATTGTGAAATCTGCTCAGGTGGTGGCCTTTCGCAGCTCAAACCTGGAAAGGGCAGCCAAAAAGCGCTGGCGCTTGACGCCGGAGGAGGCTCGGCTGTGGCTGAGCTGCAAGAGATGATCGATCTCCGGTGTTTCCACACGGGCACAGTGTGGCACACGAGGGTGCTTTGGGAGGTGTCAGAAGGAACTGGCGATCGGGGTTAAAAACAAAAACGCTGGAGGTTCCATGCACTGTTATGTAATTCATGCATTGATTTGACCTTGACCTTGCTTGGTGGGGACTTTGGAAGCGATGCTGGTGTGTTTGTCAATGTTTTTCACATATCATCCTGCCATGGCCCCTCTCGTTCTGTCGCGACCGAGCCTGGACACCGGATTTCGCTCACGCTGGCCTCAGGACCTCCTTCGTCGATTCGAAAAAGTCCGCCTTCTCCAGCCACTTGGATTGGGTCGCCAGACCTAGATCTCGGGACAGCGATTTGTTCAAAAACCACACCTTGTAGCCCTATATTATATATATATAGTTTTTTTTAAGCAGCCTAGTGTCGTGTGTTGATTTGATTCTTTTTTGCAAACCGCACGGCCGGGTTTTGAGGAGGAATCTGACAATTAAACCAGTAAAGAAGGCGGTGCGTTTTTCGTTTGGCGTCACGGTGCCCAGGTGAAGTGGAGGCCCCAACGCAGTTCCGGAAAAAACTGCAGGGTTTGGATCCCAAGCAGCTCGGCTTGGATCCCAGCGGCGAGGCGCGTGTGGTGGTTTTGGCAGACACATGTCCAGAAGCAAATGGTCCGGTCCAATCAATGGTTGTTCCCATAAGGCAACAAAGTGTTTAAACCCGGAACCTCCATGCTTGTCATCTATGCCTACATTGACCCCTCAAAGGATCTCAAAGGTAATTGTATATACCGTACATGGAGTGTTTGGGATTTTTTTAGAGAGAAACCTCGATGCAAAGCTGGCCGGTGGGCCCTCCAAGATCGTTTTTGTTTGGAGATGTGTTTCTCCATGGATCTTGGAGGCAGTAGGACCGTCCAACCAGTTCATGCAGGTGTCCAAGAAATCAGGCGCAAGAACATGCATGGTTTTGCAAGATATAGGATGTGAGAACCTTGTGTTTACGCAATCTGGTTTGGGGGTTAAAGATCATAGGAAAAGCAACTTGGTCTTTTGGATGTAGCTGGAAGAAGTAGTGAAACTTATATTTGGGAAACAAAAATACCAGAAACAAATGGTTGTTCCAAGATCCTTTACATAGGAAGTGGCTGTTTGGGGGAAACATCCATTTCTTTCTAGTTGTTTGGGTTTCCAGGTGTATGTAAGTTATAGTGGCCATTGATGAAGGAACCTCACAGGTTGTTTGGATCTTGACTTGGTCAAGCTGGAGATGTTTCTTCGGCTGGTCGCCCCACCGAGCACCGGCACCTGAGGTGCTTAGTGGTGGTCGCCCCTCAGGTTGAGCAGCTTCGTGTGGTCGCTGAGCTCAGTCAGGACCTGCGCTCCGGCACCGAAAGGTTCCACACAGGATTGGAAACGAGAGGTTCCACCGCTCGTTCGCCCCGCCCCATCTACCAAAGATGCGGGGGCTGATGTGATCACCTAGATGTATATATCTCCGCCAGGAGGTGGGTGACCAGATGGGCCTGATCTTGTTGAACGCTCGGCTCTTTGGACAGACGCGCAGGGTCAAGACACCCGCCAAGCTACGAAGCCAGCTCATCCAGGAGCGGCGGTTCGGCGCGCACCACGCGGCGAGGTTGGGCCGTGATTTGGCAGGTTCCGGGTGAGGTTTCTTATCCCTGTAGCAGGGATTAACAGGTAGATCCCCGTTTGAGGAAGTATATATCTTACAAATATCTTACAATTGTCCCGGATCGAAAGCAAATCCCGAGGTGGAACCGTAACAGGCATCACCTGTCGCTTTCACGAAGCTCCTTTCTGACCGGAAACCTCCCAGGCTGGTGTGATTCTGTGACCTCCTTTTGCGGATGGAAAGACATTCACTAAGTCTTCTCAACCTATTCGAAGGCTTCAAGCGGCTAGAAGGCTTCCTAGCCGGGCCGGGCCGGACCCGCCTCTTTTGGGTTCTGTGTAGGAGTTCAACCCGGCGTACCACTTGCGCTTCTTTCAGAAGTCGGACTGGCCCAAGAACAGCATGATCTACCGGGAGGCTGGGACATTCTGGAACAAAGCTCCTCTCCCGCCTACCAGGCCGCCTGAAGTGGAATGAGCCGTTCTGGACAATGTCGGTCGACCTATTGGAAAGGTATTCGAGCTTATCTCAGAATCAGAAGAACCCCCAAATACTAAAACGCCTGAAAAGACTATGAGGGGTCAGCCCGTTGCTAAGCATTCACAGAAATACCATACCATACCCATGAAAACCCAACGAACAGCCGACCATCTATACACGCCAACTACTTATATACATTATCCTACATGTACTCCCCATTTTGGTCTTACCAGCAAGGGCATCGCTACTAGTAGCAAGGACGCTACTAGGTGGAGGCCATTGCTACTAGGGTGGAGGCCCTTCCTACTAGTACTTGTAGCAAGAAGCTAGTAGTAGCTAGTAGCTATTGGTTTGGTTTTTGAAAATTTTTCAACCACGGCCGCGGACCTCAGCTCAGCGTAGCTCGCTCGAGGTGAGCAAGAGCGGCGAGTCTCCCTGGATCGTCGCGGTGCAGCGGCAGCTCGTGGGGGGCGCCGTGGTGAGCAAAGAAGTGCTCCGTCCCTCGATGAGCATCGCGCCACTGCCGTGGGCCGTTGGTTTTCTAGCCGGGGAGGTGAGCGAGGGCCGTGCTTGGAAGTGTGGAGAACTTGAGGGAAAACCACTGGGATAGCTGTGGGTCCCCGCGATGTGTTGAGTTGAGGTGGTCAACGAGCGGAGGTTGGTGCCTATCATCAGGTCTTTCCGATGTGCTCCAGCTGGCTGCAGGCTGCACGCCTGGGCGTGCTCGGATTTAAAAGTTGTTTTTCTGTGGTGGAGACTGTTGGAGCAGATTGCTCAAGGTTCCCAAGTTCCCGGGCTCCAAGTACCAGCAGAGGTGGGTCAGAACCCTAGTTCGACTATCCTAGTTGGGTACTCCTGGTGACGGGTCCTTTTGGGATTCTGTAGGGTCCAGCAACTGTAGGGTCTTTTTCACAGCTCCCTTCGACCGGCCGGGACAGAGTGGTACGGCCCACTCCGGGCCGTTCGGGAGGTCCCAGAGATTGAGTTTCGAACATGGATTTTTAGAGTCGACCCACGCTCTCAGAGTAGAGAGATCAATAGATAAAGTATGATAAAGTAAGATAAAGTAAGTTCAATTCGGTGAATCAGATTCTGGCTTTTGGTCTTTTGGACTCATGTTTTGCCAGTTGTGTCTTCTTTAGCCCAGGCAGCGAGGATGATCCGGATCCCAAGCAGCTGCGTGCGGCCTTCAAGCGCTATGCGGCTCGGCCAGGGTGTTTGTTGGAACAGATTGCGGCTGGGATGGGCCCGGCCCAGAAGTTCTCATGCTTATTCTGCACAACCTTTTGATACTGATTTGCAAGGTTGCTGTATCCCACCAAGCTTCAAGATAGTTCTGGTTTCTCATGGCAACGGATTCATGGGCAGAAACTGTGCAACGGATTCATGGGCAGAAACTGCGCAACGGATTCATGCGCAGGAGGAGACCAGCGACGTCTCTGACAAAGTGGCTGACTTCCTTGAGCAAAAGGAATAGAGGACCTGCAGTTGCATGCCTTTCATGGCCTGCCGTACTAGCAGCAGTTAGGCTCCGGGCTTCTCCTTATGGCTTCTCCGCTGTGATTTCAATGACGGAGCAGCTCGCTGAGTCGAAGACTGGTTCCTCCAAGGAACACCGAGTTCCATGAAACATCAAATGTGGCCAAAACCTCGATTTGCTGAGGGTCAAGAGGCCCGTGCTGAGTCCATTCCGGATCCAAAAGGCCATTCTTGGTAGGACAGGACCACATGTTGTTGCCTTAACGATTGCTTCCTTTGCAAGTGTGCCTTCTTCCGTGCACATGGATCCAGTAGTGCGAATAGTTGAAGTGAGTTGAATCGGCCAGAATGTTGAGATATGTTGAGTTGAAAAAGAGTATTTGTCAACATTGGACCCTTGGCATACACGAAGCAGGGCAATAAACCTTGGCTGCAAATGTATGCAACACTTTGTTGACTTGGGCTTGGCAAAAGGCACCAGTGTTGCAACCAGGCTCCAGTGTTGCAACCTTTGGAGGGTCCAAAGTCCCAAAGAGGCATGCAGGATCTATAGGGAAGATGTTTTAGGCAGTGTCACCAGGCTGTCACATTGACACGACAAGCACTCCTCCATAACAATGAAGCATAATCAACGCATGACAGTCGTTTGTTGGAAGTCTGAATCTGTCTATGTAAGGTGTGTATCAGAAAATCGGGAGATCGAACTGGATCCCCTGAAACGAACTACCCAGACTACCCAGTCACCCGGGCCACACCAGTCTGCCTCGGGTCCAGGTGATCCCCAAGGCTCCCTTGCCCTTCACGGAGGACCGGGAGAGCGGCGGTGGACGAACAAAAACACATGATTCGACCAGAAACAACAAACAACATATGTGTGTTTGATTTGTTAAATCATACATAATATAAATATATAATATAATATAATGTATATAACATAATATACTATTATAATATAATATAGTATATATGTGCGTGTTTTATGTGTTTGTTTTGTTTTTTGTGTTCATTATTTTTTTGGAGCGCGCCCGGACCTCCTTTGTTGCATTTGGCTTATTTCGGCTGCCCCCGTGTGGTAAATTCCAGAATAGTTCTTTCTCAGGTCCATAGGACATCCAGGCTGAGCAGGGGCATCCTCTTTTTGGTGTCTTTGGACCTCCAACTCGTAGGTTTGCTGGATGAAGTCACTGAACACCTTTGGGGTTTCCCTGCAGTGAATTTTTCTCTCACACCGCGCCAGTAGACGGTTGGCTATGTTCAAAACACCTTCTTATCCTTATTGTTTTTTTCATCTCAGGATGATCAGGATGGGTTTCTTGGCCATTTGGCATGTGCAGCTCTGACATGACGTCCATGGTTTTCCAAAGAGGCAGCGATGTTTGGTTGGGGTGGGCAGTCAGCATCAACCAGGCAACCCTACAGTGAGAGCGATATTTGTTTATTAAGGTTGGTTGAGGAACCCCAAAAGAGAACATATATGTTTGTGGAACGGTGGGCCATGTTAGTTTTTGCATTGTTTTGTTCATTCAGGGTCAGGGTCATCAACGCCATTGGGGCTTTTGCAGCAGAAAATGACTTGTTGTGTGACAAAGCCTCGGTTGTCACATGCCATCACATGCCCTTGCTGTCGATGAAACAGAGGCAGCTTGTCATGTTGGGTAGTTCATCCTCGACGAAAGGCGCTTCGACAGCAGCGACAGCAGCGACAGCAGGCCTAGGCATTTGATGCAAAAGTCTTGCGGGATGCATATACGACTTCCCATTCGACCCGGGTAGTCGCTCTTTCGATGCCAAGCTTGCAGGCACAGTGAGGTCACACGTGTTGGTGATGAAGGTTTGAATACTGTAACCTGGTTGGTCAGAACATGTCATTAAAGTTTCTTCGGACACCATGAGCTGCTTGAGGGGATCTCCCAAGGGCATGGTGGAGCCAAGAACCTGCACTGGAAGCAGTGTCAAAAATATGTTCGGAGGTTCTGGACGAGCATTGAGCCATGTGACGGCTCGTTGTGCTGTGCATCCCGGGGATGGCGGTGCTCATTCCTTTGCCATACGTGCCATGCGACCTGAGCACGGCGCCGACCGATGCGATTTGAGCACTGCGCCACACCCAAGACCCAACGGGATCCAGCCGTAGCGAACCTCAGGGAGGTGATTGGAGACGATTGATGTTGGCCTTTTTTGAGGGCCCAAGTACCTGAGAAGGTGTGTGAATCCCTAGGGTAACAACTCTGTTGATCCTGCTCGCATAGTCAAGGGACATCACCGCGTAATCACTCTGTATACTCATTGAATCTCATGATGAACGCAGCGTGTGTTGTGTTTCCGGTTTGCCGCTCCTTCTCGTTCAGGAGAAAGCCGCTGAAGTCTTTGCGAAGCTTTCAGAATACGAGGAGCTTAGCTTTATGGGAAATGACTATATATACATTAGATACACTCCCCGGTTTTTTCACAGTGAAACCTTCGTGTTTGGAGAGACTGCCCTCTTGGTCTTCCAAGAGGTTCACTGTTAATTCCAATTCCAAGGAGTGTCCGATGAGCCATTTCGTCCATTCGCCTTCATGCTGCTTCACACCGTTCACAGCCCGCCACTTGCAACTGGTTGCCTGAAGCAGGTGTCCCTTCTTAAAAAAGGGTGCTAACTAGCTGCAAGCTTGGAATGAATGACCGTTTATGGACACTTGATTCAACTCGCACGGGCGGATCAAATCCATTCAGATCCTATCTGTATGCACGACTTTCCAAGCGTGGGTCCCAACGACACCAAAACGACCTCCAAGTGGCACAGCTTGGCCAACTTCCACCTCGACTCTGTCCATGCGAATCAAAGTCAAAGACTATTGAAAGAATGGTCTGACAATGCTGATTTCAGGAACTTCCGGGGCCAACATCCCTGGAATTCACATGAAGTGACATGGTGGAACACATCTCCTCCACCAACCGGAGGTGAACTCCACGTCCACCACTTCGACCGACCGGTCGGCCCCGCACTCCGCCCGGTCGGGCGGGACGTCCGCAACAGGAGCTGCATGAATCCGAGCTGAGCCGTGCCATGCAGCTGCCGCTGAGCTGCGCAGAGCGTTTGGGCGCATGCGACACTGGGGCAATGTAGGGTGGTGCACTCCTGGCAAAAAGGGTTTCTATATGGGGCCATGGAAGTGGCTATGTACCTCTTGTGCCACATGGACCCTGCAAACCACTGGGTGGTACAAGCAGTAGGCTTAAGTCGTATCCAACACACTACTGAAAACCTCCCATTGTGTTTTGCACTACCTGATGCATCTAGACTTAGCGAGCATGATGTGACTTCTTGGGTGGGGCTTTGTGCCAGATGTGACTTTAGACCGCCTGATGTGAGTTTTTCGCCCGGCGCAAGGGTCTATTAGATGAGAATCGTCTTGCAAGGGTCTATTTTAAACAGTCCATGTTAGTTCGCGGATTTGCGGAAGGATCGCACCGATATTGAGGCCAGACCATTCGATGGCCAAGGGGTTTCTAGTTGGAGAGCATATTGGATGCGAAAGTACTGTAGAAGACTGGTTGATTCCAGAATCAAGATGAGTCCTGCCACGTCATGTGTTGAGGAAGACTAAGTTCCCTCCAAAAGAAACATCGCGTTTTAACATGCCTTCGGCTGTTGCTGGGGCTTTTGCAGATGGCTCCTAGACCTCTTTCTGCGCAAGAAACATATGCGTGTGTTTTTTATTCGCTGTTTGTTGAGACCACTGGTCTTTGCTCGGATGTTCGATCTTGACCCAGCTGGGGTATAGGGAGACCTCCCCGCTCTCCGTCGTTCCCTTCACGAGAACAGCGCCAACAAGGCTTGGCTACATGAACCCTAACGAAGATTGGATCCGGACGATCTTCCGCGCGCCTTGGGCACTACGGGGTGCTGGTTTCTTCATGCGACATGATGTGACACAGAAGGGCTGAAGAAACCCCTGGTCCATCCTGGTCCCTACAGGTCTGGAACATCATACTGGTGTGGGAGTGGGTTGAGGCATGGTATTTGCCATCCAAGGTTCTAGAATAGGGTTCATGCCACTAAGCAATTACCAATAGAAGTGTCAGGTGCTCCTCGAAACGTGACCGAACGAATGCCACGTGACCGAACTACTTGGGGCCTTGAACTACTTGGGGCCTACGATATGCTACCCAAATGCTATCCTAAGAATTTGAGCCCTCAAACAGGATTTGGAGAGCGCAGAGGTTCCTGTACTTTCGAGGGTTTGATTCTCCCATTGGAGGTCCAAGGATACATTAAGGGTCCAAGGATACTTAATACTCAGGGTATGAGATGTCTAGCTACTTCTGGAAATGTGGACTCCCTCTCCAAAAGCAGAGGTGAGGGGAGGTACGCTCCTTCAAATCATCATGGAAGTGGATGGCATAGGCCCCTGGAAGACCATGTTTCTTTACAAGCAGGTAGCGCCAACCACTTCCATAACTGGAAGTCCTGAAAGCTCTTTGTGGATCAGTTGTTAACATTGGTTACCATACACAGGGGGCCATAGGGTGTCTCTTAGTAAACCAGCAGCCGTCGGTCAAAGATGATCACTATCACTGGATTGCAACCTAACCATCATCATCCACACTGGAATGGGAATGGGATATACCCAAACCATGCACTGACGCAGTGGCGAAACCAGTTGATTTCCAGCTAGCTTCTACCCTCCAAAGACATCCAAAGCTTGGTTCTGGGCCCGTCCTGTGCGACGCCGGTCCTGGGAACAGGAAGCAGGTCGATCCCTTGCGACTCTAGCGCTGCCCTTGGTTTAGTCAGTTTATTCCAGCTTACCATTGGTTCCCATTTACATCTGACCACGGGGACCACAGATCTGTGCATGACTCATGACCAACATGAAAACAAAGCAAAATACTTAGTGCAGCCAGGAGCACCACCAGTCGGCGACACAACGCAGATCTTCCCGCAGATTCGGCAGCTGTTTTCGGTGCGCCACTGATTTTTCACATGTCGAGGAGCTGGTGCCCACCTACAACACCATTCAGATGACCGAGTTCTCCAGCTTCGTGAAAAGCTATGCCCCTTGGCCGGGCTTTGGCCGGCCAGAGACTGGAAAGTGAAAGAATTTGGATCATGTCCACCAAATCCCTTGGTGCGGCGTGTTGGACCAAAAGCTGGACCTTCTTGGGGTTGAATCTTTAACCGTGTGGTGATGGCGTTTCGTTTCAGACCCAGGTCGTGTTCCCATGAGACCACCCCCGGACCCGACGAGTTGACCC